TATTTTATTGTGGTTCTCTCCTCACTTCGCAAAAACTTCATGAGAGCGCGATGAATAAGAAGATAATGCACAAGCATCATATACACATACATACTTACATATACATGTACATATTTGGCGATTCTCTCTGCATACATACATATGTTTGGATGAGTGTCCAGTTCGTGGATTGATCGCTTTAGTTTGCTGTGCGCCGAATTTGGCCAGCAGTCGAGTAAAGCTCTTTGAAAATATTATTAGGGAAAATTCTCGTGTTAATATCGTCCGTATTCGACTGGTACGTATCGTGAGTATCATTTGACATGTACAAAAATCGCTATAAGCTTGCAAAGTACTAATTCATTTTTTATTTTATTTTTGCAGCTAAAACTGCTACAAACAAGAAAACATTCAATAACGTTGCAACCTGAATTGCCTTGGTTATTTCATGCCATGGATATGCCTTAAACAAAATCGTATTTACATTTTGACCAAAATGGCAATGGTTATATCAAAATTGGTTACCAATCTGCGTAGATACTCAAATCAAAATTTTGTGGAAATCTGTCGACTCACGAACGTTAAAAGTATGTCTTTCCAAGGTCTGACGTTTACAAAAGCTAATATATTTTTAATTGTGTATTTTTCAGCCTAATCTGCCAACGTTCATGGACAACATCTAATCAACAAATAATGATGTCGCTTTTAGATCGGCGGAATCAGACTACGCTCATCTATTCCATCTACTCGTGGCCCAATGTGCTGCTGTATTTTCTGGGCGGCTTTCTGATTTAGACACGATTATCTATCTTTGCCAGCGGCGCCATTATCGACACTTTCTGGCTAATGATACTGCTCTGGTTTAAGGGCAAGGAGCGTTTTAAGGCAACATAACTCCACCGCTGGCCTGCGGATGGACATAGACAACATTACATCAGCAAATGATCGCTATTCATGGTACCTAGTTGACCTATATATCCTTGGTTATTCCATATCATGGATATAGTCCTAGTGAACCTAAAGGACCAAGTTCTTGCAAAATGCGCAAGAACATGGTACAAAAATATGTATGCTTTTATTTTACAGCCGCCCCCATCAGCAGCCCCGCCCCCTGGATGGTTTCTAGTTGACTAGCATATCCTTGGTTATGCCATGCCATCGATATAGTCCTTGCAAACCTAAAAGATCAGATCCCTGCAAAATGTGCATTGAAATGGTCCAAAAACATGTATGCTTTTTCTTTCAGGAGCCCTTTTACATTAGCTGCAGCTGCAGCTGTTGTTTAACAGCCGGCTTACAGCGCTCATTTTACATAAACTGCTACTGAACAGTACTCATTTTAATTGAGTTACATTTTTGCAATTTTTATTAAAAGCACTCGGCGACCTTCTGGGCATTTATGTTCGCCTGGTACTTGAGCGGAATTTAAGGCAAATTTGGGACCGGCGGTGAGGGTGCCCCTTTTTACTACGTCACTTTTCGGCCGCAAAAATATTATTTGTCGACCTTCTGGGCATTTCTGTTCGCCTGGTATTTTTGGGAAATTTTAGCTAAAATTTGGGACCCAGCCGGCGATGAGGGTGCCCCTTTTGGGTATGCAACGAAATATTTTCGGCGGCTAAAAAATATTTTTTGTCGACCTTCTGGGCGTTTCTGTTCGCCTGGTATTTTGGCAGATTTTAAGAAAAATCTCGGCAGCCAGCGGTTGCCAACCGACGCCCCTGGCGGGTATGCAATATGTTTCTAAAGACCGTTGATTTTTGAATTTTTAAATAAAAAAACCGGAATTTCTTGCTTTATTTTAAATAATTGATTTATTTATGTTTCAATTTACAAAATTGTTGTTTTTTAATGCTAATTTTCTTAATTATTTCTCTTAAAATTATACAAAACGAGCATAAATTATAATTTTTACCTATATGAACTTAAAATAGCTATATCTGGCTTAATTAAAGACCGATCCTGGAAAAATTTGCTTTATCAGTCGTAGATGTCCTTAGAGCTCATTGTAGTCCTTAATTTGTCAGTCTGAAAAGATAAAAACACATTTAAATTAAATAAGTAAATAAATATATAAAAGCATTTTATGTAAGGAAAAAAGGCTTTAACTCAGGCATGTCCTTGCAGATTTTCAAAGGACATGGTGCGTTAGGATCGTATAGACCCCCTGCATCGATCTGCATCATAAAAATATGGGGTCATCTAAGAATCCCAGGACTTGTATTTTGACTTGTAAAATTTCAGTCGCGGCGCGCACGGAATGTGGCCGAAAACACAAATCCTTAAATAGCTCATAAACTACAAGGACGATCTTAATGAAATTTAGCCAGTTGGTAGTCACCAACACAATTATTTTGACATATGCCTTGACAGGATACGCAAGGACATGCTCGAGTTATGGCCTATTTTCTTCAAACAAAATCGTCCTTAAAACATTTTTGTCTGAAGGACTTTCGTCCTTTGGGTTGTAAATTCTTCAATGGGAGGGTGAGGACTATATACTGGCCAAAGGACATCCCGATAGTCCTTCAAATGGCAGAGTTAGCCCGGATATTTTCGATTTTGGCCAATTTTGCGACTAACCCCCTAGGATAAATTTCGATGCAATTTTTTGTCGAATTCTGGAAATCGTTGAATGCCAATCGATAGTCCTGACTAGGACTAGGACTAGACTAGGAGGACCTACACCTTAAATTTCAAGTCTCTAGCTCTAATAGGTTGTGAGATCCTTGCGTTCATATATACGGACGGACGGACAGACGGACGGACATGGCTAGATCGACTCGGCTATTGATGCTGGTCAAGAATATATATACTTTATGGGGTCGGAGATGCTTCCTTCTGCCTGTTACATACATTTGCACAAATACATTATATCCTTTTTACCCAATTTCAATGGGTTCAAAAGAAAATTGATATTTTAAATATTATTATTTTTTGTGCATTGCACGTTTACCTTGTGACGCGTTTCCTCAATTCTAGTTTGTAAAGCACATATATCCAATTTATAAAGCACATATATCATAGTAGCCATCGCATTCTTTGCATTTTTTGAGCATTTCCCTATTCGGGTTTCGTATCGATAACTTATCCAACATGCGTCTGCACAAAACATACAATAACAAGCCCAGACCCACGGCACCATCCACAGCCATAACGGGCGCGGCGACAGGCAGTGTTAAGACCGCCGCAATTGGCACACAAGCCGCTCCCAATCTACCAAATGCCGTGTTCATATCGAGTACGCCGAGAACTTTGCGCGTTGGCGACGCTGCCGGCGTAATCCATGATTCCAGCTTCACAATGTTTCCAACCAGATTGTAAACGCCTCGGGCTGGAGCAACCATAATTCCCGCCGGCAACTCATTGTTGGCCACATACGCCTTCCAGTTCTGATACACACGACCCTTCTCATCCACAAAGATCATGCAGCAATCTGAGCTGTTATTTCCGCTGCGGTCAGCTGAAAGCAGAGACTTTACCAAAACGCATAGATCTCTATTTGGAGGGAAAACTTACAAACGCAACGCCGTGCCCGGAACACTGGATGGCAGGACCAAGTTTTGGAGTCCGGTGCAACATTGTGATCGGTTTCATCGGTCGCAACCATCACATAGAAGATCGATGTGAGCGATTGGCGATTGGTGTATTTACCTGGATGAATCACAAAGATTAAATCAACTGAAAGAGCTTATCACTTTACAAGATTACTTACGCTGTTCCCAAATGCTATTGAACAATGTCTCCCGCATAACCTCATTCGCCTTGCATTGTTTTTCCAATTTTTTTCTAGCGTCATCAGCCACATCCGCTGTTATTTTAGGATCAGGTATTATATTCCTGATTTTGGCCAACAAAATATCGGCTCGCTCGTGCGATAAGCTTTAATTACATAATTTCATGATTGACAGACGTTGATATGTTTTAATAAAAAAAAACTTGGGCGCAGTACTCACAGGTCCCAAATAGTTTCATTGAAATATCCAAGGGATGCAGCAAAAGATTGCTGCACCTCACGAATAGTGCGCGACTCATTTTGTTGGTTTGCATTATTATTGTTAGCTTCCTCCATTTTCTTCTATGACTTATTGTCACGCAACTTCTCCTTTCTGTGTCTGGACTGCGAATGGCATATTTTGTGTGAAATACCAGCTTATATTTGTGCGATCGCGTCATTTGGCTAGTGATTCAATTGCTAGCGATGGCAAACTAACCACAACGTGTTAGCGATACTGCGCAGCAGTGTTATTCGCTGTTTATCGATACTGATAATACAGCGATATTTTATTGTAGATATCGATTAAGTGGAATCTAAGTATCCGTTATGCATACTTGTCTATTTATTTAAATAAAATTTAAATAAAATAAATAATAATTGAAATTTGATAAATCGGCTGTATTTGGCCTCTATTACATATGCATGCATTATTAAGCTTTCATCAGCATTAAAACCGGCAAATAAATACGCGCAGCATACTTTCAATACCAAACACATTTACATTTTCATACATACGATTTCCAGACCGGTTTTGCGTACCAAAAGAACACAAAGTGTGTGTTATTTTCGTCTTGGCTTTCATTGGCATTGTGACGTTGAACTTGGCAAATCTTTTTTGGCAGCCTCAGCGACACTGGCTGCAGGTCCCCAACAGATGACTAAGTCGCTGACATTCCCAAATTTCCCATTCCCGTGAATTATATATTTTCACATCGAGCTGCAACGCCATAGCACGCAAACTGCTTTCATTACACACACACACACACATTTATTCTGCGAAATCAATTATATACTAGAAACGTTCATTATAAAAGTTAGCATTTCTTTGGGGACATGCATTTAGCGTGCTAATGCGTGCCGAGAGAGGGCGCTTTTGTCAGTGAGTGTAGTCAGGTTGTTATTAAACTGGACATTGGAGAGCAAGAGAGAGAGAGAGAGCGGAAAAGCGAGAGAATTAATTAGCGCTATTTCATCTTGGTTAGAGATCTGCGTCTGGGTCTGGGTCCGTGAGTGGGGCCAGTTGTTCGGCCAATAGCGTGCCAAGCGGTTGTGATTCGCGCACGAATTTTCGTTTGAAGAGATATTATCAAATAAATTCTGAAAGATACACGACAGCATAACGGATAAAGCAAACAAAGAAGAACATTTTTATTCTTTATATCGCCTTGGCATCGCATTGAAATTCGTTACAGACTCAATTCAACGCGTTTATTAATTGTAAAATGAGTAACCTACAGCATATTACGCTCGAGATGGATAAAACTCCAGCGAAAAATCAAGTAAGTTTTTTCGGCCTTCTATTTGCATAAATCTACATACGAAAAAATCTAACGTTCAAATTGCCAGAGCAAACGTTGCGCGGGAAAAACGCGTAAAAAATTGTTTACTTTTCGAGTAGGCTATTTAAACGTCAATCAAATTCTATTATATAGGAGTCGCATGTATGAATGTACTGTATTGTATAGGTAGTTGATAATTGTTTCCTTAATCATTCACATCAGGAAAAAAAACAGCCCCGATTAGTCACGAATCAAACTATAAAACGTGCATTGGGTTTTTTTTCATGTTCAGATTTGCGCTACATATACATAATACAATAAGATTATGAATGTAAATGCATTTATCAGCAAACATGACGGAAGCTGTGGTGCATAATAAATGGGTTTACATTTGATTAGCATTCTAAACAAACAGAAAAAGTATTAGATATACATATATATATATATATGTATACCTAATGTAAGTACTAGATCTAATGAAGGTGAATTTTTTTAAAGGTTAATCACATTGAGGCCGCAGACGACATCGATGGACGTAAAGTGCGCACACCTCGAGCAGGTTAGTAAATATTTGATTCATTAATTTTTATCAATATAATCATTATCTGTGTGCGTTAAATGTTCTCTCTAACCAACCTGCTTCCGCTCTAAACATTTTCACCTGTACCTGTACCTGTAACCAAAACAATTGTGTAAGACATTTTCTGGAGCTAACTCCCGTAACTATCTGATCTAAAATTGCAATTGCAGTGCCCGAAATCGATGATGATGAAAATGATGAACGACCCTATGCCAATGGCGTTAATTCCGGCGTGGATGATGGTCTGCTAGGCAGCGGAGATGGAAGTGGTAATGGTAATGGTGGAGCCACCATGCCCAACGCGAATGGCGGACGTCGTCGCAGCGTTGGATATCCGGGCTATGATGGCACCGGATTTGTTAACATCAATGGCGTGGAGACGCCCATACCAGATGTGAATGCCTATCAGCATAAGAAGACGCTCGCCCAGGGCATGATGGACCTGGCTCTGCTGTCGGCCAATGCCAATCAGCTGCGTTATGTGCTGGAAACCAGCAACCAGCATCCGTATTTTTATCCCAGCCTATTGTTCATATCGGTGAGCATCATATTCCAGGTACGTGTCGCATTTGCATATTGCCAAATTTGCAGTGCAGTTATTTATGTTATTTATTTATACCTTACAGATAGCCGTCGGTGTTGGACTTATATGGAACGGCAGGTACAATATCAGGAACGAACAGGAAATATGTCGTGCCAATAAAATTAATAATTACACAGTCATTGGCATATTTATTGTAACAGTTGTGAACGTTTTAATATCAGCCTTTGCTGTGGCAGACCGAGCTCCCGCAACGACAACGTAGTCGCACAATTTACGTTTAGATATTTTAGAAATTATATGTTTAGGCCAATACTCACGATTTTTGCAAAAGCACTTTTCACATTTTTATATTTCTCTGCCATTGTGATAAATAAATTGAAAGTCATCAAGTTGAAGTTTGCATTTGAATTTATGAAATATAGGCGCCAATACTTATCGAACGAATTGCCAATCGATAACTTGTGTTTGCAAAAGTGGGATCTTAGCTAACAGCCCTGTCTAGCTGAGTGAATCTGTTGTTCAGCCCTGGCTGTTGATTTTGAGCAATATTTTGCCGTTGATTTAGCCGAATTTAACTCAATTATAGCACAATTTCCGTAAATAGCATGGCCAAAATATTAAAAGCGGTAAGTGCTCAACTAGCCAAACCAGCTGGCATCCTTCTAGTAATTACATTGAGTGCATTTCATGCACTTGTTATTGTTATGTCATCGGCTGTGTGGGCCACAAATTTGATAAAAATGTTTTAATGCTGGAAATCCGTACAGTCCACAGGCTTAACTGGACTGGCCGTGGCCACCAATCCACACCACACACTGTGCGCACTCTACGGCAAGATTCTGCGCGCCGTTGCCAAAATGCCGCAGGAGTCCAGCTATCGCAAATATACCGAGCAGCTGGTCAAGGAACGCGCTGATGCTGTGGCACAGGTAGGTTAACCCCAGTCGCAGGCTGTTGCCAGAAATAATTCCCTTTCTTTTCGTTTTTGGTTGGCTGCAGAACAAGGATATTGGTGCACTGGAGAAGGCCGTTGGCTGCGGCCAGGTGGAGGAGCTGATTGTGCAGGCCGAAAACGAATTGACCCTGGCGCGCAAAATGCTCGGCTGGAAGCCGTGGGAGAAACTGGCGCAGCCAGCTCCAGCCAGGCAATGGGATTGGCCGCCAGCGCAAATCCTTGAGCCCAAAGTCTAATTAACTAGTTTGTTTTCCATTCGTCTCACACATTTGAATTGTATTCAATAAAAACAAAAGCCAAAATCGGCTCGTGATTGTATTCAACTTGCGCGTTGCGATAAGCCGAGTCGTCGAACGTTTCACATTAATCTCGCAATGTCGTCAGTATATTCTCAACATGCGAACGCTAAACATCTGTCTGCTGCTGATTTGGATTGTGGCCTTAGGTTGCGCTACGGCCGCACCAGCTGCTCTCCGAGAACGACGTCAAATCGATCTGACGCTGTCCGCGGAGCACGACGACAAGGACGAGGACACGGAGCTGGCACTGGAGGCCATTGCGGGCCTGTGGAGCAGTCCGGATAGCCGTACGAAAATCGATGGATCCGCCCGGGTGGTGCATCGTGTCAATGGAATGCAAACGGGTAACACAAGCTACCAAGCGCGCGTCCATCTGCATCATGATTATAAAACCAATCCATATCAAACGTAACTGCCCAACTGCCAACAAAAGGTTCCGAGCAGGATTGGCGGCTGGGCGTGCGTGTCGTTTTCAGTTAAGGACAGACGGAAACATATTACAAGATTGCGTGCGCGTCCGATGTCGAGGCACAGCTCCCACTCCTCCTCCCAATATAATTGATAACTTCTTTGACCTTTTGCGGCGTTTGTTTGTTTTTTTGGTGTGCTCGAGTAAATATTAGATTGTAATTGCAAAAAGTCTGAACTGTTTGCTTTATTGTTCACGCACCGCAGCACATTTTCTGCTTATAGTTAACAACAACAACAAGAACAGTGAGAGGACAAATATATATATGTATGTAATAAATAAAATTGAACAAATAAGTATAAATGCCTGAAGTCAATATTTTAGCCAAATATCTGCAGCTGCGACTCAATTAAAGTGCACGCCCGACGCCTGCTGCTTTTTCAGCTCCTCGACGACAAAGTCACGGAACTCCTCGTAGGCCACATCGATGTCCACATTATTGATGATCTTGTGAAAGTTGCCGGGCGTCAGGCCATAGGCAATCTCCACCTCGGCCGCTTTGAGGCGCTTCTGCAGCGTCTCCTCCGTTTCGCTGTTGCGTTTCAGCAGACGCCGCTCCAGCTCCGCAATGGTCGGCGGATTGTTAAAGATCAGTATGGGATTGAGATCGGTTCGCTTGATCTGCTCCACGCCCTTCTGTTCGATGTCGAGTATGCACACTCTGCCCTGACTCTGTATATCGCGCACGGCCTGCTTGCTGGTGCCGTACATGTTGCCCGTAAATTCGGCCGTTTCGATGAACTCATCGTTGGCGATCGCCTGCTCCATGTCCGATCGACTCACGAAATAATAGTGAACGCCATGCTGTTCGCCTTCGCGTGGGTGGCGCGTTGTGTGCGACACGCTGAAGCCAAATTTATCGGGGAATTCGGCAAATAAACGTTTCAGCAATGTGCTCTTGCCGGAACCGGAGGGGCCGCAGAGCACAAGTGGACGTGGACCAGAAGCTGCTGCTGCTTGCGCCATTAACTTGCTGCTGGCGCCGCTGAACGCGCGATTGACAATGAACAGAAAGCTTATCATATTCGAGCCGAAAGCTAACTAGTTTGGCTAAATTAACCCGTCGATGGACGTTGCTTAACGACTCGGTTGCGCACTAAACTAGTGATGGCAGCGTGCTCAATGTGGCGGCGCGTTAATTTCCGATAAATTCATGCTAGCGATTAATTGAAATATCGCACGAGCGCTGCTATCGAGCTTGAAATGAAATACAGTTGGTTGGTTTAAAAACGGTTTATACGCATATTCTTAAACTTTTTTTTTTGTTTTATATTTAGCATAGATTTTCAAACACATACACACTGAAACGAATGCTGCTGCTGGTTTTTTTTTTGTTTTTGTTTTTGTTTTTTGCTTATCGTTATCGGCTGTTATTAATTTGAATTCGAATTACAATGCATTTTAAACTTAGTTAGCTAAAAATAATTATGGATTTTCACTTTTCTTGTTTACGTTTTTATTTTTTGATCACAATTTGATTTCGCATGCCCAAAAATGAATTTAGGTTTGTGTGTTCCGAATGATTTGCCTGAATATAATCTTCATCCTGTTCCTGTTCCTGTTCCTGTTCCCGTTCCCGTTCCCGTTCCATATATGGTTTATATTAAGCCTATCTGCCGAAAATGTGACTAATTTCGAATTATATATCAATTATATATCCATGCAAGCTGCTGCATTTGCTCGAGATACTACAAAATACGCTAATTTTCAGTCAATATTACGTGCTCTATACTTTTAGCTTGTTCTCTCTTTCAATACATTTTCCAAATCTTTGAAAATTTCTAAACATTTCGGATATCCTTCGGTCTTGTCTTGGTATTTTTTTTGGGATGTATATTATATATATATATATATATATGTGTGGATATTTTATGTACAAATGTTATAGGTTTTGAGCTTTCGATGCATAATGTTAATGTGGTTCTGTTTTAACGAGTTAAAAATCAACTAAATAACAGTACTATCGTGTTGGAAAATGGGAGTTTCTATTGTAACATCATAAATTGAGTCTAGTGAATAATTATTAAATGGTATTTATGAAATGTTTTATATTCCGGCAAAGTAAAATTATTGTGCAATTGTTGCTGCAATTTATTAGAGCCCTAAAAATTTGTATACAACTAAAACTAATGCGTATGTTAAAATTGATTACAAAATATTTGTATATATATATATTTTTTTATATTTAAATGTGTTTTTAGCCACAAAAGCTACAAACTAAACTTGTACAACCCCAAAGAACTGAGTTTCAGGGGAGGGAGGGGGGAAGGGGGGGCGGCAGCTGGGAATAAAGGAGAGGAGGCGGTCGGCTGGCCCTTCAAAAACGGGGCTATCTTTCTTACGAACTACAATCATGAATTATTCATATATGTAATGTGTATATGCAATTACTATAGGAGCTTAAAAATGTTCATTCGGTTATGTTTATCTTCCTTTTGTTTTTGTGAATTGCTATTGTTAATTGTAGTTAATTAATTGTTGTTTGTTGTTGTTGTTGTTGTTTGAAAATGAGAAACACGACAAGTATTAACAGAAAAGGAAACTACTAACAATTACGTTGCCGATGCGCATTTTGTTGTTACTTTCTTTGTGTATAATTATGTATAATTAATTATGTAATAATTATTGTTTACAAATAGAATAATCAATTTACGTGTACATTATGTTTGCTTGCGTAAATTATAAAATTACCTAATCAAGAAAATTATAAAGTTAGTAAGTTATAGTTGTTGTTGTTGCAGTTGCAGTTGCTGTTGCTGTTGCTATGTAGAGCCTCTTCCTCCTTAGGCCTTCCAATTGTTCTGGCGACTGCCGCTGGGTCCGCTCGGCTGCTGTGGCGGTATCATCTCTAGCAGATATTGCCGCTGCAGCTCCGCCGCCCGCTGTATGTCCGCCAAGCTGGTCGCATTGCTCGAGTTCTTCGATGAGCTGGACGCGGAGCTGCTCTTCTTGTTGTTGTTGTTGAAAGCTGTGCCGGCAAGAAATAGAAGATTAGAAATATCTTCGATTTATATTGTTTATGAAATTTAACATACTGCCAAAATTAAACTATACTGAGACAATAATTTGACTGCAATATGAAAAGATTAGTTAGCTCTCTTTCAATTATCTCAATATGTTAAAAACCCTTCATATTATTTCTAGCTTCTAGCTTTTAGTCTATACTTAATACAATGAACAGCAAAAGTCACTCAATTTGAATACGATTTTCCTTATATAGAAGTCCGTGCGGGGCCCTGAGGCTTTCCATGGTGAACGCCTGTTAACTGCCATATTTAACAGCTGTTTTCAGCTTCTATTAACATAATGTTAAACTGATAACTGTTCAGCTAATCCTGATGGTTGCCCATATGTTATTCAGTTAACTGCCGTATTTAACAGCTGTTATCAGCTTCTGGTAATACAATGTTAAGACTGGCTTTAAACTGTTCATTGTCTAGCTAATCCTGATGGCTGCCCATTTGTATGCCTGTTAACTGCCGTATGTAACAGCTGTTATCAGCTTCTCTTAACAGCACCATATGAATGCCTGTTGACTGCCATCTTTAACAGCTGTTATCAGCTTCTGTTAAACTGCTAATTGTTTAGAATCCTTGCATCCTAACTGATTTTGATCCTAACTCACCTGCCACTTGGGCCGCCTGCGCCATGGCCATTTGGTAGGTGTAGAGAAGTGGCGCAAATTGCATCATGTGCTGCGGATTGCCGCCCAGGCCCTGGCCGAGTGCTGCAAGCAAATCAAACAAATTAAATATATAAAATTATTGCTATTTAATAGGTGGGAGACAAACCTCTGAAGAGCTGCTGCTGAAAGGCCTGCATGGCAGCGGCTGGCGAGGCGTTGCCCAGGGCTGCCGCCGGATTGTTGGCTGCCGTCGAGGCGCCGCCAAAGTTGCCCAATCCGCCGAGTGCCGCCAGATTGCCCAGCTGATTGAGATTACCCAAACTGGCCAGATTGTTGATATTCAGGCCGCCCATGCCGCCCAGCGCACTGAGATGCGCTGCCGCTGCCAGCGTTGCCGCCGAATACTTGTCATAGCTCTGCGCCTGCTGCTGCTGCTGCTCGCGCTGCTGATCCCGCTGCTGCTGCTGCTGCTGCTGCTGTTGGTGCTGCTGCTGCTGTTGTTGTTGCTGCTGCTGCTGCTGTTGATGGTGGTGATGGTCGCGTTCGGCGCGCGAGGAGCGCCCAGTCGCTGAGGTGTTGGCCTCATGGTGATGCGCCGCCGCTGGTCCCGGACTGAGTATGCCCGCCTGCTGTGCAGCAATGGCCGCTGCTGCCGCTGTGGCAGCGGCACGCGAGGAACGTGGTGTGCTGCTGGCCGTCGGCAGCGGCGGCGGCGGCGTCGGCTGGCTTTGTGTGGCTGGCGGTGGCGGCGGCGTCGGGCGTGGCGCTGGCGTCGGTGTCTGGCATTTGGTTGGTATAACGGTAACCGATGGCGGCAAATTGACCAAAGCAGCAGCCGCCGAAGCGTGCGACGCCTGCAGCTGTTCGCGCTGTTCCCGCTCCCGTTCACGCTGCAGCGCCTGCTGATGCTGATGTTGATGCTGCTGTTGATGCTGCTGATGAGCGGAGGAGACGGCGGAAAGTGCAACGCTGGTGGCATTGTTCGAGGCGGCATGCGCCTCGACGGGCGACGGACTGCTCTGGCTGGCCAGACGCTGCTCGATCTCCTGCTCCTGCTGCAGCGCCTTCACAAACGCCTGCTTCAGTCGATTCGTGTGCTCCGCCTTCAGGGCCTTCTTCACATTCGACGTGACGCACTGCTCGCATATGACCTTGGCCTCTTTATTGGCTGCGAATAGAATGAAATATGTTATTGTCTGTATAATAGAAATGTTATCTATTTGGCTGTGCTCACTTTGTTTCTCCCACTTCCAGACGGGCGTGAAGTCGATCTTGCACTGGGCACAGCGGAAGGGCGCTGCCACGGCGTTCGCTTTCTTATTGACTGTCAAATAATCGACGACTGTCTCCAGGCCAAGCAGATAGACAAAGTCCGTGTTGCTCGGATTCGGTATAAAGTGCATTTCTGGTGGTGGCGGCTTTGGTGGCGGTATCTACGAAAGATGAACACAAAAAGATGTTATAAGCTTCAAGCGGAAACAACAGATAAAGGAGCTAAAATCTAGAAATTCCAATATTAGCAACTATAAATTCTGTAGTCCGATTAGGAGATACTTATTCATGATCAGGGCATGCTACTACATGGTAATCTATTTGCCCAAATTGGTGTGCTTAACTCTTTAATAATCTCATCTATAAGCTTCGATCAGAAACTAGATCGATATTAATCGTTGATTAGTCGACGATTGAAGTAAATCTGACTTGTGCGAAATTATAGTTACCAAAAATCCTGACTAGAAATCGATATATATCGATTTTGTAAAAAAAAAAACTGAGTAATCGATAGCTGGAAAAAAGGCTCATATTTAAATATTTCCTCACTTTTACTAGTCTCTGAGAATGATTCCTTCCATATCCACTCGATCTAAACGACTGAAGATCTTAAATTATAATTTCCAAAAACGTAGCTATAAATCGATATATATCGATTTAGTATGTAACTCACAAAGGCTCATATTTCACATTTTTTTTAGCTTTTACTTGTTCCTGAGAATGATGCATACTACATCTACTCGATCTAGACGACTGAAAAACTTAGTTTCCATAAAGTGGCTAGAAATCGATATATATCGATTTTGTAAAATAAACTGAGCTGAGGCTCTTATTCAATAAATTTTTTTTTACTATTCCCTGACAATGCTGCCTTCTATATCTACTCGATCTAAGCGACCGAAGAACTTATTTGTTTTCAGAAACGTGGCTAGAAATCGATAATTATCGATGTTAGAAAAAAATTGAGTTACCTGGGTTATATAAAAGCTCATATATCCAAAATTTTCTCACTTTTACTAGTCCCTGAGAATGCTGCGTTCTATATCTACTCGATCTAAACGACCGAAGAACTTATAGTTTCCAAAAACGTAGCTATAAATCGATATATATCGATGTTGTAAAAAAGACAGTTACCCAAGGATCATATTGAAAGAACTTCTAACTTTTACTAGTCCCTGAGAATGCTGCATACCAAATCTACTCGA